TTCTTGGTTGATATGAATTTCTTCTTCTTTGGTTATTTGTTTTTCTATATTTTTGTGGTGTCTCCTGTAATGCATCTTTTTTTGCCACTTTCTTTTTCATTACTAAACACCAAGAATAAAAATTAGTTAATTAAGTGTTAATAGATTTTTCATCTATTATTCCTAGTTTTGGGGAGACTAAACATCTTTTTGTTTAACATATCATTTAGGTTTTTATAGGAGTATGAGAAAAGTATTTCTTTCTTTTATTTCTTCCTATTAAGGTGTTTCAAATTTCTTCACATATATCTTCTTTTTAATCCTTTGTTTGTTTTTTAATTTAAATTAGAAATGTATTAGGTAAAGCTGCAAAGGGTGTAGCAAGATATTATGGTAGAATATAACATGGTGTAATATAAGAAATTACTAAAGTGTGGGTAAGACTAAAAGAAAATTAAACATAATAATATAGTAGTAATGAAATAGTCTTTTCTCTCATTCATAAAATAAGAAAAATGAAATTCCTTAAAATTAAGGCAGAAAACAAACAAAGGCTTAAAAAGAAGAATTAAGCGAAGAAGTTTGAAAAACCTTAATAAGAAGAAATAAAACAAAGAAGTGATTTTCTCATTTTGCAAGACAAACCTAAATGATAGGTTCAACAAAGAGATTACTCTTTTTTTAAACAGCGAAAGGATTAGTCTCCGCTAAACTAGGAAGAATATATGAAAAATCTATTAACACTTAATTAACTATTGTTTATTTTTTTGATTTAAATTGAAATAGTTTCAACCTATTGGAAGAAAAGAAATAAGTATAATGAATTAAAGAATATTCTAATGAAAATAGAAAATTTAAAAGATGTCAAAATAAATCCAGTAGTAATATCAATTAATGGAATAATAAACAAATAAAGTAATAGATTAATTAAAGAATTAAAGAATTAAAATTGACATCGAGAAAGAAATTAAAAACCTTGTAATAAAAAACATGATGTATGTCATTGAATATTGCTTCAATTACAATCAAACATACTCTGTAGAGTTGATAGATGAAGACGAATTGATGGGATTAGTCTCCCCTGAGGCAGGAACAATAGAAGCTATTTCTATTAACACTTAATTAATTGCTTATTATTAAATTGAAATAGTTTCATTTCTTTATTTTTATTTTATTTATGAAAGAGAAAAGAAAGTATTTCATTACCACAATATAACTATTACAAATTCATTTTACCCTCAACCACACTTTAGTAGATCATTTTGATTGAATGATACCTCCATTTATTTATTATTTTTTTATTAATAAATACCAACTGATATAACGTAATAAGTAATATTCTACAGTAATAAAATAGTACACCTTTTTCAATACTACCTAACACATTTTTAATTTAAAAATACCATCATAATTAGATAATAACTGGGAGAGTTGGAGCTTGAAATGTACTAGGGTTTGTATGGTGTTTCAGACGTACCATCTTAGAAGGAAAATGAATAACATTTGTTAAAATGATAAAAATAATGATTGACTTGATGTGTTAATAACGTGGATTAACTATTTAAACATCCATATTTTGAACTTATAAACATCAAATTAAATTAAAATGGATGAGTTAATAAACAAGAATAATCAATTAATTAAAGAAGTAGTAGAAACACTTCCAAATATTCAACAATCAATTAATGATACTACTAAGAATTATCAATATTATATAGGAAGTATTAAAAATGAAGTATTTAGAATAAAACCAAATGAAACATATTCAGAAGCAATTAAAAGAGGAGAAGGAATATTTGATAGGATTGATGAAACAGAAAGAAGAAGAAAACTAGTGATAGAGAAAAGTCAAGAAACAATCAACCAAATAGAAATAATGAAGAAACAAATGAAAAGAATCATAGAAGAATGTAATCATGATGAAGAAATACTGAGTAAAACACGGAATGAATTAATTGATAAAATCATTTCAATTGAAGAAATGATAATGAAAAACAAACTATTCAGAAAACCAAAAGAAACAGATAAAATCACAGCAGAATTTAATAAGAAGAAAGAAGAATGGGAAAAGCAATACAGTGATTATTTAGAAAGGAAGAAAAGAAAAGAGGAAAAAGAAAGGAAAAAGAAACAAGAAGAAGAAAGGAAAAAGAAACAAGAAGAAATTCAACAAATAGAAGAATTGACAGAAAGAAGAATAACCAATATACTATTTGATTCAAATGTTGATATTTGGAAAGTTAATACAACAGTATTTGAAGAAAGAATAATGAATAAAGAACATATAATAATTATTATTGAAGATGAAGATGGAAATAAATTTGGAGGATATGTTAATGAGAAAATTGATAAAGTTGATGAATGGATATATGATTCAAAATCATTTGTATTTTCATTAGAATCAAAAGGAAGAATGAAAGGAATGATGAAATTTGATATTAAACAACCACAACATGCATTTTGGTTAGACAATCAATCAAGTGATTGCTTGTTTGAATTTGGATATGGGTTTGGTGATATTCGTGTTTATAAAGAAAATTATAAAACAGAATCATATTGTAAACAATGTTCATTTGAATATGAAGGAATAAGAAATGCACTTTGTGGAAAATATAATTTCACACCAAAACGAATCATAGGAATTGAAATGAAATGATTCAATCTTGATTAATTGAAAATGAACTAAAAAAGAATAAAAACAAATCAATGAAGAATATGAACAGCCATTTCATTCATTGGCAGATGAATGAAATTGTGAAATAAAAATGGAAATAATTCAATGTTGATTTATTTTATTTCATTTAATGAAATTTTCACACCCAATGAGGGTGTTTTTAATAAATAATAAAAGAAATAAGAATGAAATAGAAATAAGATAAAATGAATGAACAATTTATTTGTATTATTTCATTGAATTAATTCATTATGAATCAAATGAATAAGATAATAGAAATAAGAATAAGAAACAAATAAAGAAATGATAAAATACATCAACATATTTATATTATTATTTCTTATTCTTATTTTTATTTCTTTATTTATTCTTATTGTTAATTTCTATTTATTCATTGTTATATTGATAATTTTCATTATAGTATTGGTTTTATTTTACTAGTCATATTTCTTTTTTTATTCTTTAATTTATGTGTCACTTAATATGATTGTATATGAAAAAAAATCATTTCTCCTTTATTATTTCAAACAATTATTTTTTTACCATATTATTAGTAGAATTAAATGACTTTTCTTTGCATTATTTTCTTTTGGCTAATTTAATTTGTTATTTCATATTATTACTTGATTGTTAATTTAAAATCACTCTTTCGTTTTAACACGTAATATCGTATGAATATATAGTTATTGATATTTTATTTATGATGCAAAAAAAAAAGAATAGAAAATAAACCAACTCGAAAAGATGACGGAAGAAATTAAAAGATATTAAAATGAAAGTTTATAGAAATAAGGGATAATAAGATGTGTTAATAATTAACTTAATTAATTATGATATAAAATAATTAGATGATATTATAAATATAATATAAATGATGAGGTATTGATAATAAATGTAGTATGAAAAGAAAAGAAAAAAGAAGAAGTGAAAATAAAAATACTATTTGATGAAACGAAACAATAATAATGTTAAATATTATACAATAAAGAAAATAGTGTTAAATATATAATCATTATCAATAACTATATTATAGATGACATTAAAAATTTAAAAAAAAGTATTAAATAATAAATACAAATGAAAGAATTAAATAAATTAACTTTGAAAATATATAAACGTAAATAGACTAGAAGAATGAACCTCAATGATGAAATTGATAATATATAAACAATAAATAGATGTTATTAAAAATATAAAATATTTGTTTGTATAGAAATATAAAATTTCATTTGATTATTGTTTATTTCCTTTAAGTTTATTTATTCATTACTGTCAATATTCAGAAAATACTTTCTTTAAATTATTATATTTGTTTTATTCCATTTTAAATCATTTTTATAAAAATAATCATTTAAAATGAAATAATTTTTGTTTGTGTATTAACTTATGTTAGTATAGTGCAACATTTAAACAAATAGTCTCATAATAATTTAGTTATTATATTGTATTTTAATATTTTATCATATTTTGTATATTCTATGATTTGAATATTTTTCAATTATTCTTTCTCTTTTAAATGTATTGAATGATTTATTTCATCCATTATTATTTCTTTATTTATTCTTCAATCATATTCAAATATTTCTTCACATTCATTATAAATATGAAATAATTCATTACTATGAAATATTATCATTGAATAATGAAATAATGAAATAGATTAAAATGAAATTATTCAATATTTCATTGAAATATTTTAATACTAATTTCTATATTAATAAAATCAATAATATCGTCATCAAAATACTTTATTATTATTTCATTCTTTTTTTCTTATTGTATTTTCCATTCTTTTATTAGTATTTATGTATGGTTTTATTGTTTTTCTTTTATTTCTTTGGTATTTTCTTTTTATTCATATATACTTCTTTCTTTCACTAAATTATTCTTTTTTTTTCTTTATCTCATATTATAACCGATAAATTGATATTCTAACATTACAATAAGTCAATTATAGTACAGAAGATTCATTAATGATATCAAATAAACCACAACAACACTTAACACTCAAACATGAAAAAACTTGAATATGAACAAACTCAACAAAACAAACTACTTAGTAAACAAGATTTTATTAACAATGAAGAGAAGATGATGGATGTTTTATGCAATTTGTAACTAATATTGAGAAATGAAGAGAAGTTATTTCTATTCTCCTTAACTAACAAATGATTTAATTTTATTAATGTTATGTTGTTTGTTCTTTTAATATTAAAACCTACAAATTAAAGAAAAGATAATTGAATATAAAACATAATAAAAACAACATAAGGAACAATTTACTTTTTAAATAATGTTAAAGCTAAAATATTTAATAAAAAGAAGTAAAAGAAATGAAGTAATTTAATTAGAAAGTAGAATGATCATATCCCCAGTTATTTCCTGTCATTTCAGTGAAATTTAAATAAATGTTTCCTCCTTCAATACCAGCTTTTTGTTCTAATAATTTGCAATACCTATCAGATAATCCTTCTTGTTTTCCTTTTAATCCACTAATACTTTTAATGTCAATAAAAGCACTTTTAACGATTTTACCACCAAACCCACCAACTGAAGTAACAACTTGAGTAGCACAATAACTAATTGGTTTTCCAATAACTTCAGATAAAATTTTCATTGATTCATGAGCGATTTCTTTCTTAATTTCTTCAGTAATATCAGCACTCAAAGTGATTAAAGCGTGTGGCATAATGATTTGAACTTTTTATTCTTTTAATTTTGAGATTTTTAAAAAAAGAAAGAAATAATAAAAGAAGAAATAAAAGAAAAAGAGAAGTTAATAAAGATTAATTTAAAAGAAGGAAAAGAACTTAATAAGAAATAATTAAGAGAAGAATGGTTTGTTAAGATGAAATAAAGTTAGAAAAAGAAGTGAGTGATAAAATACTTAAAAGACAGAGCGATAAAAATAAGATAAAAAAAGAAGAGAAAGAAGAAAATAAAGAAATTATAAAACAATACATTGAAGAATTTAATAAAAATATTTATGAATTAAGTACAAAGGAAAGTTTTTTTAAAGAAGAAAAAGATTTAGAAATGGTAGAAGATTTTTGTATTGAAGTAGAAGATATTAATAAACAAGAAGAAGAGAAAGAGAAAAAGAAGAGAATAATAAATATGATAGGAATTATAATGTATCAAATGAGAAGAAGTTTATATGAGTGGGCACATTTAAGAACATATTTTATAATAGAAAGAATAAAGAAAGTTATGAAAATATTTATTCATTTTATTATTAAATATATGGAAGAAAATATTAAAAATAAAGAAATAAGTAAAGAAGATATCCAAACAATTACAATAATATTTAAAATTGGAATGGAAGAAAGATTTGAAATTAAATATGAAGATATAATAAAACTATTTAATGTTAAAGAGTTTTATAATGAAATGAGTAGTGAAGGAGTAATTAAATTAAAAGAAAAAAGAAGTAAAGAAGAAATCAAAGAAGATAATAATAATATATTAGATAAACAAATAATGAAAGGATTATTAAATGTTGATGTTACTAAAACAATAAATAAAGAATTAGAAGAAAAAGATATTTATGGAAAAATTATAGAAGAGAATCAAAGAATATTTAATTATGAAGAAAAAGGAATAGGAAAATATTTTGAATATATTACTATTCCTATTGATAATATTAGTGAAAGAATTAAAAAGAATAAAGAACAAAATATAAATAATCAAAATGATATTCAAATGATTAATAAAGAAATTAAAGAAATATTAATTTTTATTATGAATACATTTCCTAAAATTGAACCAACTTGTATTGGATATGTAGGTAAAGTTTTAGTTAAAATTACAGAAATTCATGATTTATTAAGTGAAATTAATTATCATGATGAATGTGAAAATTTAGTGAGTATTATTTATTCTATTATAAATATTATTGGAGAAAATATTGGGAATATTGTTGTTGAAACAAATATGCAAGCTTATTGTGCTGCTCATCTTTTTCAAACATTATTACCTAATACTTTTTCATTAAAAGAATTTTTAAAGAATATAAATAATACAAATGAATGTATTGATATGCCTTGTTTATATCCAATGGCTGTTGCTTTAACATTTTCTAGAGAAGTTTTTCAAAAAATATCAAATAATAAAAAATTTGTTGTTGATGAAAGTTCATATAAAAATGTATCAAGTATTTCATTAAAACTTAAAATGTATGAAGTTGAATTTGATGCATTAGCATTACAAAGTAATTCTGTATTATCTACAATTATTCTTTCACCTGGAGGGAAGTTTTTAGATATTATCTTTTCATTATTATTAATGAGTTTCTTAGGAATTGGATATCTTGAACAAGAATTACTAAGAGAAAAGAAAGTTGTTATAAAGAAAGAAGAAGAAGTAAAAGAGAAAGAAAATAAAATAAATAAACAAAAGAAAATTATTGGGAAATTAGATATTTCTATTACAAATAAAGAAAATAATAAATCAAGTGCTTTCTTAAAAACACCTAGAAATAAAACACCTCGAAATACATTAACACCAAGAAAAAGTATTTTATCACCAAGAAAAGAAGAAAATAAAGAAATGAATGATAAAAAAATTAAATTAGATAAAATAGAAAAGAAAGAAGAAAATAATAAAGAAATTAATTATGATATTACAAGATCATTACCACTTTATCTTTCAATATTCATTTTTGGAGAAAGTTCAAATGAAGAATTAAGAAAATATGTTTCAAAATATTTTAATGCATATCATCTTGATGTTATTATCTTTTTAACTCAAATAGAATCAAATAATATTGCTATTGATTCAAATGAAAGAATGTATGGACCATTAGTTAAAGATAAAGAAAGTATAATGAATCTTCGATCATTATGTAGTTCATTAGTTAATTATAATTGGCTTTCAGAACAATTAATGGGATATATCATTAGAAAACAAAATAAAGAATATCCAATTCAAGTACCAAATGAATTAATAATTTTTTTAACAAGAGTTTGGATTAATAGAATTACAAATAAAAAAGAAGGAGATAAAGAAGATATGCAAGGAATTAATTTATGGGAAACAATGAATAAAAATATAGAAAAAATAATAAAAGAAAAAGAATGGAAGAAAGGAGAAGTTATAAGTCAAGAATATATGATTATGATGTTACTTATTTATAATTCATTTAAAGAAGAAAATAAAAAGAAATTTATTATAATGATTTTTAATGATATTATTAGTATTGAAATGAATAAAGAAATGAATAAAATTATTTTAAGTAGATTATGTATGATGTTAAAATATATGATTGAACATTTTAAAGAAAATGGAAATGAAATTATTGAAGGTGTTCAAAAAAATATTTTAACTAAAGACATTATTATTAATAAATCAGAAAGTCTTATTTATCCAAATTATATGAAATATAATCAAGAAGCTCTTAAAGAAATTAAAAAGAAAATTGAAGGAACAGAATATCAAAATATTGAGTTTTATAGTCTAAATCAAGAAGATAAATATCAAGATATGATTAATAAAATAAGAAGAGGAATATTAGAAAATAATGAAAAGAATGGAGAAATTATTCAAAGTATTTTAAGTAAAGAAGAATATTGTATTTTCATTAATAAATTACTTCAACTTTTACAAATAAAAAAAGTAATTAAAAATGAAATAGGAGATATGATTAATGAATATTTATATCATAGTATTATTGAATTATTAACTATTTTACCACCAAGTGTTAATATAATTGAAAAATTTCAAAGTAAACAAACATTTAGTACTAATGGAATTAATGATGGATTAATTATATTAATTATGTGGATGAATTTATTTAGTTATGATATTAATCCTATTCCAAAAGAAGTTGAAAATAATGCTAAAGAATTATTTAAAGATTTAATGAGTATTTTAGATACTATTGGAAATATTACAGAAGAAAGAAAAGAACAAGGAATTCATTATGAAAGTATCATTAAAATTATTATTGATACAATTAAAAGTCATTGTTGGAATGATATTATGATTAATGGAAGAATTAAAGAAATGGAAGATGAAGTTGAAGATAAAGAAAATATTCAAGTTGATGAAGAATTATTAAAGAGAAAGAAAGTAATAATTAAAATTAAAGAAGAAGAAAATACAAATAACACATTAACACAAAGAGAAATTTTAAAGAAAGAAATTAATAGTATTAATGAAATAATGTATAAAGAAGAGGAAGAAGAAAAACCAAAAGAAGAAGAAGTTGTTATTAATAATAATAAAATAAGAATTATTGATAATTTACCAATATTACCAATTCAAAGTTTTAGTGAAGCATGTAATGAAATATGTGTTAAAAAACCACAAATTTTATTTGATATGATTACAAAAATTCTACAAAAATATAGTGAAATGATGAAAAAAGGATGGAAAGAATATATTGAAGAAAAAGGAATAAATAAAGAATATAGTCAAATTTTTATT